CGATGTATCAGGATATTTCAAATTGAATAATTCACTATTAATGGGTATAGTTGATAGACAAAATCGTCGAATCGGAGTCGTCTGATTATAAAAAACAATATCGAACTGGATCATGTAAACACAATCTTCCTCATTTTCAGCTAAAGGAAAATATCCAGGACCACGACTTGATGACGTTTCAATATCCCAATATAATAACAAAAGTCTTGGTGTCTCGTAGCGATCGAGTTTTTTGATATCCGTTAAAGTAATCAGCATATTATCGTAAATATTTTCATTGGTAATTTCGTACCATCCTACTAATTCAAAATCATTTTCGCTTGCAAATTTTCTGTAGTAGCAAGTTTCATTATCTGAATATGTGTCATAGTAACGATCGAATTCCTCTATGTCTTTAAATTGACTAGGATTCTGAATAAAATCATCACGTTTTGTTATAATTTTTTGTAAAGCTTCTTTACGTTTTCGTTGATTAGGAAAATATAAACGTAAAAAAGTATGTTTTTCTGTTGAATCAAAAGACTGTCGTTCGATTCTTTCGTAACTATCTGGTTCAAATTCGTTAATGTAATTTGAAAAGTTAATATCAGGATAAAGTTTAATGTCAAAAAAAACCGAATCAACAGATATGTTGATTGTGAATTTTGTCCCATCTTCTCGCACAGTCAACAAAGATAACATATATCTTTTATCGAGCTGTGATGTGGAATCAATAGCATCGTATACGTAGAATTGATTTGAGAAGGTTGAATCTATTAGTTCTGATCGACAATATAAAGGTTCCGGTATTTTTGATTTGATTTCATCGTTATATCGATGAACTTCAGCAATGAATTCACGTAATTGAGTAAGTTCAGACTGTGATATATTATCGAAAAAACTCATTTTTGAATCACATAAAAAAAATTCTATCTGGTTATAAAAAACTAGATAGTTCAACTCGGGTAGCCAAAATAGATATTTAAATACAGAGGATCAGAATTTAACAAATAAATATCATAACAGTTCTTGCAAATCTAATTAAAAATTTAACTATTAAACGAAAATTACAGAAATAAATTTCCATTCGGTAAATAAACTGAACAGATTTTTATTATACAAAAT